GATATCTAACCAAAATATATATATACCAAAGACTGAAACTTGTTCGATAAATTAAATACAGGCAACTGAAGTGATGCACTGGGTGTTCGCATAGGTGCACAAGGATGTGTGGAAATTTCAGGGACAGGAGATGAGGCGGAAGAGGTGGGTTAGATGGAGGCCAGGCATTTGGGAGTCATTCCACTGAGAAAGGGAAAGCTCTGAAGCATCAGAGTCAGTAGTGTGACAGTCCAGTGTGTGAGAGAAACATCATGAACTGATGAGCATTGGGAAGAGGGCAAATGGAAGGGAGACAAGGCTGAGCCGTGAGAGCCTGGGGACCAGACAGCACAGGCAAACAACTAAGTGGCCCTCTTACCTTAGGAACAATAATATTTTTTTCCTTAAATAAAGATGATACCCTTATTTAATATCTGAAGCTAAGGGCTGGGGAGATGGCTCGGTCAATGAAATGCTTGCAATGCCAACTTGGGGACCTGAGATCCCCAGCACCACATAAAACCCTCAGATACCTGAAACCCCAGTGCTGAGGAGGCAGAGAGAAGCTTCCCCGGAGCTTGCTGGCCAGCTAGGCTGGTCTTGCTAAATTGGAGAAATCCAGGTTTAATGAGAGACCTGTGTGCAAAAAATGAGGAGAGCAATAGAGGAAGATACCAGACGATGGTTTCTGGCCTCCTCGTCTCCGCAGTTGGTTGCATACACACACATAAATGTGCATGAGTGCATACCACGCATACACACGCACACACACACACATGTGAGTGTGCAAACATACACACACACACACACACACACACACACACACACACCAAAAAATATCTGAAGCTAAGAAGATGAGCTTGCTTCTTATCAAAGAATGTGAAGCCGTGGTGGTCAGGTACTGCTTCATTTACAGAGGAAATGTTGATTGGTGCTGGATTTTAAAGAACTGATGACAGAGATGGGAGTTAATGCTAGTCTCAGAAACATGATTTGTGTTGACTACAAGAGAAGGAAGGAAAGAAGGGAGGAAGGAAGGGGGAAAAGGAGGAAGGAGAGAGGGAGGCAACTTCACTGATAACTAGTCTGTCAAATTTGGTGGACTGGTCCAACATAGACACATACATACGTGTACAACATATACATATATATGCATATACAGAACATACATGGCAGGCTTCAGACCTTCCTCAAAGGCACAGCAGCCCTCCCAAGATGACTGGTCAATGTCTGCTGCCTTTGAGACCAACTGGCAAATCTCATGTTTTCCCATAACCTGCCCAGCCCAATGGGAGTCCATATACTCAGCTTCCTCCCTCCCCTCCCAGGTCCCTTTATCCCATGTTCAAACTCCCCAAGCTTTCCACTGCACTAGGGATTCTTAACCCAGAAAGATACATTAGACCACTTGAACTTCTCATAACCTGTAGGATGACTGAAATGCTGATTAGAGGGCCCTGAATCTTTGAAGAAAAAAGTCTGCCTGTTCAAACCAGTCAGACTGGAATCCGACCTCAATATGATGCCTGAGGTAAACCTACTACTATTTTTTTTGCTAAATGGACATAGTATCAAACAGCCCTCTAAATGCATCTCTCTATACACATAGATTAGTGCAGCTCTCAGACCTCATCAGAGAAGTTTCTTTGTGCAGTGGATGGTGGTTAATGCAGAAGCACACAACTGGTCAAAATGCAGAGGATAAGCTTCAGAGGAAAGCTCACCCACAAATGGGACATCTATGTCACACCCCACAAAGCTCAGGGACCATCATGGAAGAGAAGTTGGAAAGATTGTAAAAGTCAGAGGACAGGAGCGAAACTGTCTTCTGGATGTGACAGGACCCCTACACTCATACACACAATAGCTGTGTGTGGCAGTTTGAAGGAGAATGATCCCATAGGTTCCAAGTATTTGGATATTTTGTCCCCGGTTGGTGACAGTGCTTTGGGAGGTCTTAGAAGTTATGGCCTTGCTGGAGGAAGCACATCACCAGGGGCAAGATTTGAGAGTTCTCAAGCTTTATTGGATCCCCAGTCACTCTCTGCTTCTTGTACCTGCTTGCAGATGTGAGAACATAGGTTTCTGCTCCTGCTTCAGCCACCTCCTACCATCATGCCTCCCTGCCATGATGGACTCTAACCCCACTAGAACCTGGAGCCATAAGTTCAAATAAACTCTTCTTCCTAAAAGTTCCCTTGGTCATGGTGTTTTATCACAGCAACAGAAAAGTAACTAATACACTGTGGTTGCCTGCACAGGAATTGTACAAGTTTAGGCCAGTCAACATCCTAACATGGAGTGGGGAGGGGCTCATGAAACCCCATTCCTAATTGAGAAGCTATTTGCAGTTAGTGGCTTCTGGAAGAGTGGAATCAGGTTTCTTTACCGTGGCCCCATGGTAGGTTGACCACTCTCCTACACCCATGAGTATATGGGCAGCACAAATTGGATTTGGTAGCTCATTAGAAGAGGACATGATGTTGGGGGAGTGGGGAAATGGGAGGTGAGTCCAGAAGGAATTAGGGGGAGAAGTGGGGGGGTGGGATAAATATGATAAAAATGCATCATATAAAATTCTCAAAGAATTAATAAAATATTAGATAATGACAACAACTTACCCTCCTGTGCATTGTTGCACATACTTTCTTGCAGAGGCAGGTAAATATCCTTCAGTTTGTCAAAATTGTCTACGAGGATAGTGTTTTCTTTATTCCCTGCCATAATCTCCAGTTCCTCTTGGTTGGCATCTCTTACACCCACTGCGAAGATGATGATGCCTTTGTTCCTTAGTTTCAGTGTTGTGACATTGAGTTCATCTCTGTCGTGGGACACACCATCTGTGATAACAATCAGCATCTGCCTCACATTTTGTTTCAGGTGGCTGCTGTGCTCTTCTGTGAACAGGATGTCCGGGTGCTTGAGAGCCTTGGCAGTGTAGGTCCTCCCTGAGGTGTCCCTGTGCCTCCTCAGGTGCTCAATGATGGCTGATCTGCTTGAGTACGTGTTCAGATAGAAGAGAATCTCAGGATTGTCAGAGTACTTGAGAGCTCCAAACTGAACACGGTCCTTGCCAACATCTGCCTTCTTCACCAAGTGGATGGTGAGGTTAATCATGCTTTCTTGCTGTTGTGAGCTTATGCTACCGGAATGATCCAGCACGAACACAATGTCTAGCAGCTCAATCCTCTTGCAGTCTGAAAAAAAAAATTTTAAAGAGGGACTCACAAATTCTGCCATGCCTCCACACAATGGGAAGAAAAGTGTTCAGCTTTTGCCATGAGTTTTCTAGATGTCTGACCTTCTGCCTCACTTTTCCCAATTTCTACATGCATGTACGTATGTGCAAAGTATGTGCAGTGTGATGTAGGGTGTGTGCGAGCATGTGGAGTCCACATATCAACCTCGGGTTTCATTCCTCAGAACACTGTCCACCTTGGTTTTTGAGACAGGGTCTTTCACTGGCCAGGGACAGTAGGCTACACTGGATGATCAGTGAGACCCAAGGATCTGCCTATCTCTACCTACCCAGTACTGGGATTAGAGGCACACACCACCACATCTGGCTTTTTAGTTTTTTTCACTTTGGCGGTGAGGATCAAACACTGATCCTCATGCCTGAGTGGCAAGCATGCTACCAACTGAGATTTCTCCCCAGCCATCTCACTTAGTTCTTAGAGGTGCTTGCTGTCATTTACAGAGAAAGAATCCGAAGCTCAGTGAAGGGTAACTTGCCTAGACTGATAGAATGTGTAACTTGCAGGAGAGCCATAAGCTTCCTTAAAGGAAGCCATAAAGGCATAAATTCCTCAAAGTAGCCAAATGACCCAAATTGGCAGCTTGGCTTTTGATCAGGCCTTATCAACTGGTCACTTCCCTGGTTAACTAGAGACTGGTTACAGGGGCGAATTAACTCTTGCTGTGCCATAGCCTGCTCTGGTGGCCTGGCCTTATCAACTGACCACCATAGAGACTGTCTGCAGAGTCAACCTGCTGTGCCAAAACACAATGTGCCTGCTCACCCTGAGAAAACAGCCTCAGTCGGGAGACCCTCAAGGGCACTGACATCTAACACCTGACAGCTAACACTGAGCAGATTCACCTGACACCTGACACCAGGCAGATTCCTGAAGCTTTGGTCAGCAGAGTTCGTATATAAAAACTATGCTTACTCTTACTGATGTCTGTATCCTCGAACAAGACACTGGCCCTTTGCTATGTTCCTTTGAATAAAAGGAATATATTCCTTGCCTGTTGCAGGTCTGGCTCTGGTTCTTATTTCTTAACTTTAAAGCCCTTCTCTTCTTCTGCTCTCCTAAATCTAACATAGACCATGATTCTAAAGGGTGCATGTGCTTTTATCTATAGTCAGAACTTCAGAACTTCAGAACTGGTGAGCCTTACACCACACCACTCTCCTGCTGCATCACCTCAGGTGATGCGACACCGTTGCTAAGCAGGCCTTCAACAGGAAAGTAATGTCAAAAGCTAAGTCAGCCTAAATAGTCTTGGGTGCAGAACCTTACCAGGGGTTACACCCTTAAGAAAAACTTGCTCTTCCTTGCCCAACATCTATCAAATGCTAATAGATCTTCAGCTAAGGGTGAGGGTTGGAGGGGAAGAACAGGAAGTTGGGTGGGTAGGACAATGGGAGTGGATCTGGCAGAAGTTGGGAAAGGGAATGACTGTAATCAAAACATTCTGTATGAAATTCTCAAAGAATTAATACAAATATTTTTAAATTTGAAAAAAGCTAGTTCAAGGCCGGTATAATGGTGAGACATATTAGTGTTTGCCAAATTGACCTGCCATCTTAGAGTTCAGGAGCTCATTATACAACTTGGAGATTTTACCCCACTCCTTCTGGCTCCAGCTGTCTTCTGAGCTTCCAACAGGCAAACCTTCTTACATTCATGAGGGAGCCCCCTACATATTTGTGCTCCATCCTGGCCTCCTGAATTCAAACTCAGTAAAGGAATGAAAGCAAATAGGGGAGGAGCTAAAGTTCTCATCTCCTCTTCCCTGGTCCCAAGCCTTCTTCCATTCTCAAAGATAATCAACCATTCTCTGGTGGGTTTCCAAAACAGGATCAAGGTCTTATTTCCTTTCTTTAATAAACCCAGGCACATGTCTTCCAAAAGCTCCCTTTCTTCACTTTCCATCAGCCTGCTTTACCTCCAATCCTTATTTCTGGCAATGAGGCTCTCAAATTTTCAAGTCTTAGATGTTATTGACAAGCTCAAGCAATCACTGTGAAAGCCTGTGGCAACATCTCCCTGAGACTTGGTGGCTAGTTATGACTTTAAAATATTTTTGAGTCAGTCTACTATGTGAGTTATCTAAATTTCAGCCTATCCTAAACAGGACACTGCAAACATTATTTATCAAAATGACAAAAGAGAAATTCCGAAGTTAAAGATCTAGCCTTTCAGTGCACCTCAGCATCGTCAAGAGTTTTGGAATCACTGCCACCCTCAAAGGAAAAGACTGGTTAGGTTGTTATCAAGGTCTTCGTATAATCTTAAGAATGAAACCCAATGACTATTTCTATGTTGCCAAGGGGACGACACAAACTTACTAATGCTTTGATTTTCTCTCTTAGCTGTATCCAAAATAGGTAATTGCTCATGATAGCTTTTAAAATGCATGTCTTCACTCTAAGTATGGATGGATAGCAAGTTCTCGTTCAAGAGAGATTCAGTAGGTAGGATCAGGGCTAGGCTCAGTGGTAGAATTCTTGTCTAGCCTTTGAGAGGTCCTAGGCTCAATCTCTAGTACTAAAAATAAAAATGAGTGGTTCAAACTGATGATTGATCAATACTTTTTGAAAAGAATTATGAATTATGAGCAGTGACCTCAAGCAATGATGGGGAATGTCACATATTAAAAATTCACAAGGCATAGTATATGAGCAGACAAAAACACCTAGTTGACAGAGGTTAAGAAGAAGAATGTGCCTTTCTGGTGGTGCCGACCTCCCTACCAGAACATGCCTCTCACAAAGATCTCCTTCGTCCCTCTCCAGACAAGAAGAGTGAACACAAGAAGTGCCTAATGCAGAGCCCTATTCCTAGTTCATGGATGTCAAGTGCCCAGGATGCTGTAAAAGCACACGGTCTTCGGCGACGCACAAATGATAGTCGTGTGTGGATTGCTTCACTATCCTCTGTCGGCCTTCAGGTGGAAAATCAAGGCTTACAGAAGGAGGTTCCTTCAGGAAGAAGCAATGCTAAAAGTATCCCAAATCAAGGTGAGCGAGAAACCACCCCAATAGAAACGTTTTGGATTAAAAGAATAATGGGAAGTAATAAAAATGTGCACTATGTATTTAAAAAACAAAAGATGCTTTGGTAGAACAGGGCTGCTTAGGATACTGAATTGAACATAACTAAAAAGATGAATTTGCACTTCTAATTATTTACTGCTCAACAATGGTTATGCAGAGGCAAGAAACGATTCTAAAAAGTCATTTGAAATGCTGCTGCCCTCCCCACTTTGCGTTGGGGGCGATTAAAGTTAGGAATTTTTGTAAAATTCAGAGACCTTTTCTGAAATCTATTTGAATCCACAAAAGGCAATATTATTCTGTACAAAACTATTACCAAATTGTTCATCTGCAATGTCCCTGAAAGTTATGGATGTTTTAATATAACATAAGTAAGAAATTATGAAACCAACTAGTTGTCCAAAAACAGAGCAATGAATAAGGAAGATGTAAGTATCTATGCACTGGAATTTTTGGCCATAAGGAAGAATGAGATTATTCCATTCACAGAAAAATGGATTCAACTGAAGATCATATTAAGTAAATGAAGCCAGTCTCAGAAAGACAAATATTCTATTTTCCCTCATTTGAGCTTCCTAGATACAGGGAGGCGGAGAAATGGCTCAGTGGTTAAGAGCACGCTCTGCTCTTGCAGAAGACTGGAGTTTGGTTCCCAGCACCCCTGTCA